GATGTTGACGAAACCCATGCTGTTCTGGCGCAATTATGCCGTAGTTTTCCAAGTATCCCATTAACGCATCTGCTATCACCGCTTCCATGACTTTGGCGATCACAGGCAGAAGCGTTACGGGGCGGTAATTGGCAGGATCCGATCGACTTCCTGCTTTGTATATGGGCGTTATTACACCTTGTTTCCACCTCGAAGGTACGATGTTCTCATCGAAACAGCGCTGAAAAAATGCAGCTAGTGGTTCGGCCAAGTGGATGGCAGCTACCTGTAATGTTTTCGGGTGAATGTTATCGGCCCCGGGAGAGCTGTGTGGACGCAAGGATAGCAGCTTTTGCAGCACCATTTCTGCGGTGAACGTGACGTTGGATAAAACGGACGGTGGGGTAACTAGTGGCGGAATATACGTCGAGGCTTGTACACCTTGGAAGATTGGGGAGTACTGGGCCCGTAATGCGTTGGCCGCCTCTTTCGCAGTATGTGTATACCCATTGGTCGTATTAAGTGGTGGGATTCCCCGTTGCACCTTGCGAAGTCCATTCACATGTTTGTAAAGAAGCTTTTTTTCGAACAGAATCGTTTGGCTAGCTCCTGCTGATGCGTTCTCTTGTCTTCGCGAACCAAAAGCACACAGTAGTTGCGATGCGAAACGTATTCCGTCCAGTTTTCTGCGCTGGGGTTGCTTTTATACGTGCGCCATTCCCGATCCCTTAGAGTCATGCATTTTCGCGTCCGGCTTCGCAAGAATGATTTCGCTGTGCGGGGATGTTGGGAAACTTTTGGTGTTGAGGCTTCTATGACTAGTGACGTGATGGTGTTCGCAAATGTCTCCCAGGCTAGTTCTCGGGTGCAGTTAGCTAGAAACGTCCAACTGGTATTCTCAACTAAGGCAGACAGAACGTGGTAATGGATAACAGATTGCCTCGTTTCGAGCTCCGCAGCTGGATATTCGGCGTAGCAGATGTAATCGAACTGCAAAGTCACGTGATCGCTACGGCCCAAAGGACTGCACACCTTTAGTCCATCGACCATGAGCTCTTCGTTAGTGAGCACTAGATCTAATATCGATGGGTTGTTTCCTGTTCTGAACCTGGTTGGAACGGTGACGTGGTTATACAAGAAGGTGCTAGAGAGTAGCTCTTGCAAATATGCCTTGAACACCTCTGTCTCGGATGCTGGATTTTCCAAGTCATGGGTGTTGAAATCTCCTGCAACGAGGATGTGGCTGTACTTCTGATTAAGCACGGAGCGAAACGCGGAGATAAGTCTGTTGTCCCTTTCCGGAGTGGATTTCGGTGGTCGTTAAACTACAGAGAGAAGGCATACGTCGTTGCGTTCCAACCACAGTTTGCACCAAAGGACGTCGGTGACACAAGTCTGGGGATCGTCTATGAGCTCACAACGAAGGTTCGTTCGGAAATAAATGAGCACGCCATCGCCGTTGCCTGTTCTGTGGTTCTGGAGAAGTGACATACCCGGTATGGCAATCTCAGCGTCTGTGATTTCGCCGCTCAGCCAGGTTTCGGTGATCATTATGATGTCTCGAGGCTCCGAAGCCAAACGGTGACGGAGTTCTACCAACTTACTTATGAGGCCTTGTGCATTAGTATACATGCAGGATACTGCTTTTGTAACCAAGAGTGAGCTAGCACAGGTTGTGGTAGAAATGGAGTTTGTGCCGACCGTTAACGGGTCGGCCATTAACCGTTTTTTGTGGTGACGTTTGCCTTTGAGTTTGCTTTCGGTTAGACGACTGATCGCGGCCTTCCGGGCCCTGCTGGTCCCCCGTGTTCAGCCGTGTTTCGTGGGATATTGCGGTTGTCGATAAATCCATGCCTTCACAAAGTTGCATAAGTGGATGGTTCAACAATTTGATCGCTCCCCGTGAGTCGTTGGTAATCCGTGGCAGCGTACCTGATGCCTTTAACCGAATTTCCGCTGGCAGCTTCATGCGGAATTTGGACCAGTTTTCCAAGGCGAGCGGTAACATAAACTCAGATTGAAGCACCACCTTCATAAGTCTGGGACCGTTCCCTTTGTAGTTGGGTGAAAATGGAATCCTGGTGAACCGCTTGGCGATGATATTATTGAGGGAGATTTCGTGGCGGATGTAACTCCATTGCTCCCGGTCATGTGCATCCGCTGCATCAGAGGTTGAATTTTGGAGCTCAGGAACCCCGTACACAATTATCGTCCGTTTCGCCTCGGCTTTACGAACTTCTTCACGGTTGCTCATCTTTTTCGGACGTTCGTTCCAGGGGATATCAGGAAGTATACGCGCCTCGAGTGATGAATGACAAAGCCTGTTGGACGATAGTAGAACTGCCTCTGTGTCCTTGATGGAGTTTAGTGTCACTCAGAGAAGTCGGGGTTCACCGTAGTGCACTGAATTTGGATGACGTGTGACTCGTCTCAGCAGTGCAGGTTCAACCGAAATGCCAATCGCAGTACATATAGACTTCCACTGATTACGATCATCCAACAGCTTCCCCTTTATTGTACTCGCCTGTGATTCAGGAACATTTGTACACACAACGGTTAGCGCGCCTTGGCTCCTTGCGTTGGATGCAGATTTGCCATGACTTAAAGACACGGTGTTAAACGGATTGTTTGGTTGTTGGAGTCTGGTCAACTTACTGTTGCTTGGTGAGGCCACCGGAGTCGTAGGTAATTTAGCCGGTGTATGCATTGAGGCGACTGAGGCGTACGACGCCCGACTTTTCTCTACGGCGGAAGAGGTTTGCCCCGGAGCTTCCGCGGTTGCTGTTGAATGGAGGTGGGGCGTGTGACTCAAAGGTGTGGACATCAGTACTCTGGATGTTCGTCCGCTTTTGGGAGTTGAGTGAGGCAGGGGATTTGGAGAAACTGAGGCTGCAGCGCGACTTTAGCGTCTAGCCCTTTTTTTCGGCCTCGAGGTGGAGCTTTCTTTGACCGACTGTGGTACAATCATGGCCATATTCGCGGCCGGTGGTGCAAGCCTGGCGTTCAACAAATAAGCAATTGTCGCATTCAAAGTATCGCACCTTTCCATGAGTGCACATAAACAACCGACCACTGGAGTTAACTGGCAAGTTGGACAAAACCAAAATGCGTCAGTAGCCTTGTTTATTTGCCTTGCTTCTTGGGCGGACTTTCCTATACAGCTCGGGTGGAACGAGCCACTGCAGTTTCGGCACGTTATACCCATTTTAAGGGCTTTGCCGCAATTAGCTGAAGAGCAGATACGTCGTTGCATGATATTCGGCATAGTTGTTGTATTTTTTCAAGCACGAGGACAAGCAAGATGTCGATCACAAATTCCAAAATGACGGGCACAGCAGTAAATCACTGAGATCTCCGAAGATATCAAGCGGAATTCCACGAAACTTTCACGGATTGATGAACACACGAAACTAAAAAGTTTGGTGCACAACTAACACAGCAACACACGTAAAATACAGTAATTCCAGAGAAAAAGCAGGATCCAGCGCGTGGTAGCAGTACGGGCCAGACATGCTTGTCGTCCGATCTACATCAAAGTTCGAATATTAAACGCTGCGGGGATGAATGGAGATCCAGATCGAAGAAGAGTTGGAGCTTCGGTGGAGTGAGAGACGGTTGCAATCGCAATACCTTGAAAGCCGGGGGGTTGGCTGTTATTTCTATCAGTTGCAAGAAGTAGGTCGTTTGTGACGGTGACCGAAGAAGACATAAGAGTACATATAGGTGAAGGACTGGAGGTGGGGATGATCTGGGGTGGAGGTTGAGGAGTTGAGTTAGCAGATATGATAGGCATAGCAAGAGCAGTAGTAAGCAGTGTGGTCCATGATTCGTCAGTGGGCGTGATACTATACAGTTGCCCAGGCTAACGTAGTGGGTTATCCTAGGGGGCCCTACCCGAGCCTTTGACCAAAGATCTAACCTACAAGGCACCAATGAGATGTGAGGGCGTCGCAACTTGTTGGTAGCCAGTAACCAAATACACGGTTCATGCTTCTTTCGGTCCGTGAAGGACCAGAGGCCCAACGCACACTAGAAGTATGATGTCTCTCAGGGAGGGGCAGTGACTTTATTTAGTGGCGAGTCACATCCACCACTTCGCAATGCTGTTAAACAGACATTTGTGGCTTTTTATTGGGAGAACGCTTGGCAGGCAAAAACCCACCACGTCTTGGAACACTGCCGCCGAAGCATTTGCTGGAATGGGAAAAATCCGAACCACCCAGCTAGTACTACGAGGAGGTTGTTCGGTATTACTTTTTAATTTGTGTTCTATAACGTACATTATCTCGCTTTTTCTTTAACCATATGTTTTGTATTAAGGCCCAATAGCTGAGATGTTTCTCACTTTCACCTAACTGTAATGATGACCATGTTTGACAATGACTGAGTCGAGAGGAATGTCACCAGCACAGCTGATGTTCGGCCGTTTTCCACGGATGAGATTGCACTTGCTTTTGTTAACCTCTGATGAAACATAGATACGTGAAGATTACTATCTCAGAATAAACGTGTCTCAGGTATTCTGATTCGATATATGCAAAGTTGCCTCTTGAAACAAGTTGGCAACCAGATCCACTCCTGTCTTCCATGGGTAGTCAGTCGGAGCTTCAGCAGTTTAACGGTCGCGTGGAGCACCGCCACTTTGATCACCTTCGGTCACACCTAATCCAGCAAAATGAACCGAGTCAGTAATTGACTGCTACTGACAAACATACCGATAGAGAGTTAGTCACGCAAAAGAATAAGCCACAAACAGACACAGAACAACCTCATTTGGGACAGTCAAAGCACGCACTAAATCTAGTTGCTCAGCATCAACCTTTCAATTACTTCTATTAATGTGCATTTATATCTGAAACGAACGGTTGAGGACCATCCCTTCCTATGAAGTAATGATAATGTCTGTTTCACCGCAGCCCCGAAAGTAAATCGTTGTTTGAGTTAATATACTTCGTCTGTTGGTCAAAAGCCATTAAACCTACGTGAAAAAAAGACATCTTTTAGAACACATCACCTGTACCTGGCCTGTGGATGCGAACTCAGAAAATGGCTTAAGAAATCGCTTGAAAAGCCAACACTTAAATTGATCCCGCTATATGAAGTGAATGAACAAGCGTAAGGAGACACTCTTTGGTAGTTGAACACATAAGAAGGTGTGGCAATTTTCTTTGTTGGTTTACTCATGTGAAGGACAGGAATGGAGCATTATACAATAGGTTGTTCGCGAATTAGATGCAACTAATAATGCGATTTCCACAGTGGTGTGCATTGCTTTCGAGGATTATGTTTACCTGTATAGTTCTAGACATCGGACTCATTGTTGATTGTCAGTTTAGTAAGTCTCATGTTATGCACGGTCTGGCTGATGGTGGCCTCCAAGGAACACGATCCAACGGACATTGTCTTTGGCCGACTTTGTCCATATTTTCTTCGGATGATATCTGAAAAGCGCCAAAGCGGCATCATAATAATTGGTCACGAGGGCTGAACGAAAATTCTACCACCTGAGTTGCTAAACACATAAGATAATTCAACGGCATATCAAGAAGAGAATTTTGCATGACACTACGTGTAGATTTTCATACTTTTTAGTGTGTAGTAGTAATGATGAAGTGCGAATCATGTAGCAGCTGATTGCACCGTACCATTTATTGCATCAGCAAAGGTGGTAGAAATTGCCGCGGAGTTTGGCAATGGTAAGACGAAGTAGATACCTTTCCAACTTACCGTCTTAGACAATGAACTGTGAAGATTAGGTCATCAAAAAATCACGGAGTACTTCAATTAGAAGGGACTTGTCCATGCATGAAGACACCTAAAGTCTTGTACACATCATAGTCAATATCAGCTACCCTGAGACCCACACCTTCGTCTTTTCGCATCGAGTTACAATGGCTGGTGGCGCATGGACATAAACTTCGGAATCACTGGACGAAGAAATGTGATGTGCGAATGTTTCCGTACGGACGCACACGTATACAAAAACAAACCAATTTATAAGTAAATTCCGTTCACGTTGTGTCGCTGTCCTTTTGAGTTTCGCGTTAGTTGTTTGGCACCCAGAAGCATTTGATGTCTCTCTATCCTCATGCTACTTATCCTCTGTTATTCCACGCCCGCCGCTAAGGGCTCCATCCTTTATAACTCACTTGATTCTTCTCGTTAAACCACCTCTCTCGCCAATTGCGTCACAAACTGTATTAAGTAAGGTAATGACCCGGTGACCACCTATTCATCCCGCCCGATCAACACTTTGATTAACATTTTCATGCCACAGACGCATTATTTGTCTGTACACCTAATGGCTTTCTCATGTATTTGCTAATTTATAGTCGCATCACCCATTAAACAGGAAAAATTCGCTTTGCGCGTCAAAGCTCTTGTTCATCAGTTGTATGAACTTTGTTCTATACTCGCACCAACCATAGAGATTGTGTTATAATTTCTTATGTAGCGCGAGTTACGAGTCTTCCCGCTTCAGTTTGGTACTGTTGAGACCTGGCCTCACCAACTTAGACCTGAGCCTTTCATCCGGATCGACTAGTACGTCTGTTTGGTATCCTGTTATCGTGTCGTCCTCCCACTACGCGCAGCAACCTCGTGCTAATTTGAGTCGTTCTGCCGTTGATATCTTGTCAACAGCCTTGTAACGCACACCTAGGTGCCATGTGGTGTACATTTTCGGGCTCGTCTTTCTCATGGAATTATTCCTTCACATCTTCAGAGGACACGTTCATCATACACTCATTAGGATCGTATAAATTCGCTCCATTGGCTGAGCCACCTTGCACGAAATGATATCATACGCATCAAGATACCAGCAGTCAGGGGCATTTTTACAGCTCTCATGCTCAAGCCAAGGCGTTAAATTTGGTCACCTTTGCTTTAATTACACAGTTGTGTTACCGTTTGATAGAGCCGTCCAGGAGCTATCAAGAATTTCGGAATCGTTCGTATACTGCATTTTTTAAGGAAACCAAAAGCAATTTCCGATCCATTGTATGCCAATCATCCACACCCATCGTCCACATCCAGCTTCAATTTGCAACGATTACCGGCGAGTCGCTCCCATCGACTGATCAAATGATCACTCTGTCCCCTAAATCGTGCGTGCATGCAGATAGACAGCATTTGTGACTGATATTAAACATCTCTGTGTTTATCCCGGGTGTTGCAGTGCTCCTCACAATCGGCACGGATCAGAAATGTTCAGATTGGATTCCAAAAATGATGCAGCGCATGGTATTCTTCTTAAACACAGCTGGCAAATTCCTTAAGATGGCGATAGTGTGATCAAACCGCATCGGGTTATTACACGATAAATATGCAGGAAAGTCGGGCAGAAAAAGTTAGGTGGCCCAACAAAGTAACTGACGCTCAAATGTTTCGCTCAACATATCGAGTCATTCAAATTGCCAACTTTTAGGTGTGCTCACGAAGAAGTGCTTTAGGTTGACTTAGACAAGTGAGCATTCACTGAATATCAAGACTTGACCACTTGATCCATAACAGTCACTATTAATTTAACCTCTGTAATTTATAAGTTTACTGTGCACTGGTCGCCGATCGTTTGTTCAAACAGTAAACTCTCTGTAGCGGGATTTTTCAAGGTGCGAATTTCTTCTGATTCATAACCACTGCACTTGACGGCCTGCAGACGGTGCACGATACAGCATCATCTCTGTCTGGGTGCGCACGTGCGTATGACCCGCCCCACAGTGTTCACGTCGGTAATTACCTCGTACAGTATGTCCCTCCGCACGGTCCGCGCCCACAAATGTACTTTGACCGCTTGTGCGTGAAATCTTTTCACACACAAGCACGCATCAAGCCTAATTTGGAACATATGCCCACGCATACACAGGTCGCAATCAGGGGTTTGAGGGCCTGTATGGTATGGATCCCCACTTTGTTACATCTTTCCGGAACTACATTCTTACCCATACTCCTCTCATCTTAATGTGGCTAGAGTCACCTTCATCCCAAAGACCCCGTCTCCCACGCTTCCCGAACATTTCCGCCATTTCTGTGGCCTCTGTTTTCACTCGCCTTTTGCATTGTATTCTCCGAGCGCTGGATTTCCTCCGTTCCATCCGACCACCTACAATTTGGTCTGCTCAGGAAAGACGTATGTTTTGAGGCCCCATCTGTCCTTCATTCCGTGATTCGTTCCTCTCACTCCCACTCTTTCGCCCCTGCGACCATTTCAAAGACCTTTAATTCTATCTCCCATGACTCCCTAATTAGAGCTGCATCTACTTTTGGGACCCCTAACTTTTTATTGATTACCTGTCTTTCTACTGTTCCTCGGCGATCTCAATGTTCCGGGAGGTGCGAATTCACCCAGAGCGAGGCGTTAGATAAGGGGACCCACATTCATCCCTACTTTTCATCATGACGCTTGAGGAAGATCTTTGAACGGCAGCCTCCTGTCGTTCGATGTCTCTTGCAGGCCCGGTTGATTATAGTGCATACGAAGACAACGTGATCATCGTAGCGGAAAACCAAGACGCACTACAGGAACGACTCCTACCCTTTAAAAGCGACCTCCGGTTTGTTGGCCTTTCCATAAACTAGATGGAAACTAATGCTATAAATATCGTCCCCGATAGATCCAGGCAGAAGGCGTTGCTGGACACTCCTGACATTCAAGTAGGATCGATGAATCTACCATCATTCTAACGGATGGATTCATTTAAGTTCCTGGGTTTACCATTTAACCGACACGGCAAGCTACCGCCTCACTCCCTCGATGAGCTGGGAGAGCAACTCCAGGAAACATCGCAAGCACCATTAAAACCACATCAACAGATTGAAATGCTCAAGACCTTCCTCATCCCACGACATATCCACAGCATCTCACTGGCAGTAATACATCTATACACCCTCAAAACGATGGACAAATGAATCAGGGCTAATGTTCGCAAATGGTTAAGATTACCCAAAGATACAGCCGTTACCTTTTTCCATGCATCCACCATTGATCACGGCTTGGACATGCCTAGTCTCTCAACCATGTTGCTATTATTTCGAAAAGATAGGTTGGAGCGACACCCTTCCAACCCGAATGCTATCTTGAGCTGGGCCATTTGTGACCCCTCTGCTTCTGCGACACAGCAGCTAGCTAAGTCGCCATTCAGCATAGGTTGGTAAACTGTGACGGATAAAGCCTCAGCAAAGGAGGCATGGAAGACTCAGTTACTTACTACCCTAGGCGCATCAAGTTGCTCATCGATGGCTCCGGAAACATGCACTTGCCTATTTATCAAGGCAATTCTACTACTTCCAACAAAAGTCAGCCCCCCCCCCAGCTGCAGGCCACCGCGTTCCTCATCCGATCTCAATTGCTGCGGTTCATGTGGGCAACACGAATCAATCTCTCGTGCTCTATCCTTACAGCGTAAGTCATGATGCACGCTGAAAACCGCACAATGACATTTCCAAACAAGTTACAACAATTTTACGCCGTCGGGGAGCTGTAGTCATTCCAGAACCAGGCACCCCCTTGCCATCGATCTACTTCAAGCCAGATCTACTTATGAGCCGGGACTCCGCGGTCCTTAACCGAGTTTCCCGAGCTTCTATTGAGCCATTTGATCAATATTATGTCGGAGCATTCGTCCCACCTTGGCAAATAACTGTACTGCCCATTTCTCGAGCCGCACACGATTTTGCCGAAAATAAATACCCCTTCATTAATGGCTTCCAAGTTAACTTGTTCAACACCTGTTCATTAGCCTCTTGGATTATAATGGTGTTAACGTTTGCGTCCACTGGTTGTTAAAACGCTATTCCGCGTTATTTGTTGTCTGCTTGAGATCGCAAACAGTTGAGGTTTGCTGTTGTATGTAGTTGACTCTTTGTAAATAGTACACTAGATCTTGAATCCACTCCGTGGTTGGGACAATTCAGGATGGACTATTACGCCTGTCAAAGTATTATGGTCCAAAGGAAAGACCTCACAGAGTTAACGCTGAAGGAGAAGATTAATCTGCTGCATTTTCTGGAAAGCGGCAGCCAAATAGAGACGATAGAACAATGTAGTGTTAGTAAGACAACAGTTTGGAATATCCACCTACATAGGCATGAGTATTTGGAAAGACACAATAATGAAAGTGGCGATCTACATCGGAAGAGACGGATAACATCACATGACGGAGTCAATGAAGCTACGCTGTGCTGGTTCGAACAAATAAGTGCAGGTACTACTCGAATCTCCGGGCAGATGATTTAAGAAATTGCGAAAGATGTTCACATGAATTTGGGGTAGCAGATTTTCTAGCGTCCAATGGTTGATTAGAGAAATTCAAACTGTGATATAACATTTACCAAGGAGTCTTAAGTGGTGAATACAATGAAGTTGCTGAAGAGTTTGTTCAAGAATTTACCGAAAGATTTCCCGACTTCAGTAAGGATTTCAGCGATGGTAACTTTTTTTAACGCTGATTAGTGCTATCCCTTTTACAAAGCGATGCCTGGCAGGAGTTATGTTATAAAGGGTGACAAATATAAAAGCGGAAAACATTCCAAAGAAAGTTTTTCTGTTATGTCGTGCGTTCGATCAAGTGGAAAAAAGCTAAACCCTTTGGTCATTCTTAAGTCAGCTAGAACACTTTGTCCGAAAATCTGAGTCCTGAAAACCTTCCAGTCACCTGGAGATCAAACAAGTCTACATGAATGACTGCTGCCATATTTGACGCTTGGATACGAAAAATCGACGGAAAAATGATGGAAGAAGAAACGATTCATTCTATTGACAATGGATAACTGTCAATGTCATATCTATGTCGATAATCTCAAGAATCTATTGCTGCATTCAAATATGATCTCAGAAATTTAACTCCCGGATAAAGGAATTATCAAAATATTCGAAACGCAGTATCGAGCCCAGTTCATGCGATGTAGTATGGCTAAAATGAATCCCAGAGAACTGCGTGCGGCAAGAACTTCATCTACTGCTTCAGTTAATGCTCAGGATGCTGTGTTTTGGATAAGTTTCGTTTGGCACAAAATTCAGCCAGAAACAATACAGAAATGCTTCAAGAAAGTTCCTACAAACTTTCGAGCAGGACGCTGTTCGAGGGAATAGGTTTTCAAGAGTTTGTTGAAATGGATGATGACTTGGCAATCTACATTGAACCAGACCCATATGAGATTTTCAAAGAGATAATGACTGCGGTACACACCCTACGGGAACAAACAGGAAGCGCCTGATGATGGGGAAGAACTAAGTGAAGATGACATGGGAACCACAGAACTCCCTAAACAGAGTGATATCGGGCATCTTTTAATGTAACTGAAATTATTTTCCGTGCAACAATGTTCAAGCATGCTGAGTAGTGTAGCTTGAACTGTGGGCGCTTTTTTAGTTAACTTTGTGATAAGAAAAAGGAACAAAGATTGATTTTATCATCGAAAAATGATCTAGCTTGTGAAAGGCACATGGCGTTTTCAATTATCATAACACTGTATAGTTAAAATAAGCCGTTAAGTGAGCCCTCGTCTAGTGTGTTCGAAACGGGTTTATACGAAATAAATTTCATAAAATACTACTCATAATGCGAAGTAGGTTACGCTAAGTGTTGTCATAGAACCACCGTGTTGTGACCATCACTTTATGTTGACCACATTGGTCCACTCCCTTGGATGCTCAACTTACGGAGGTGCTACGGTATTTGCTATATCCATTGTTCTGATGCAGAGCTCGAAGGCGTGCAGTATGTTCCATACTAAGACGTGCTGTCGGCATTGTGGAGGAAACGTGGTTGACAAGCATGACGGAGTGCACCATAGGTGTAACTTTTTGGGCACATTCTGAAGAATTTCACCTCTCTAGTTCCAAAAGATTTAACTTCTGAAACATTCCACCTCCTCCATAACAAAATACTTTCATCAGAAATAGTAAAAGTAGGTGTATGGCGTTAAATGAGCAAGCATTGCGACTGTATGGGGACTTACCGATCTCAGAAAATTGGATATCGAAAGTACCTCAACGTACTATGTGCAATTAGTTCACTAAGACAAGTTGACGCACCAGCAGCAACTGATGAAACGATCACGTTGGAACCAGAAACTTCTCTATTGACACATTAATAGTATTCGCAAAGTGCAGCGCAGAATACCGGCGCTCGCTACGGTTAGTGGTTGCTCACATACGCCGAGAGAGGCGACCAAAACCTTACGGTCCCAATAGTCAGCTACCTTCCAGGAGTACTGAATTCGAACGCTTTCCCTGTTTCGGTTTACTTTGCGATCAGGTTTATCATACGTCACTTTCATGACAGAAACGGTGTTAGAAGATCATGTCTAATGAGGCGCGCCTCGAGCCTTTCGAAAATAAGTATTTATTTATTTATATATCATTGAACACACACAGTTCTTTTGGAACGGATTTCTTTCACCCAAAAGCACTGCAAGTAGCAACTATGCACCCAGCCGAACTGCTAACTGAATTCTTTCAGTGCTGTTTAGAAGTGTTAAGAAGGGGCGCTTCCTTGAGCGCAGATCAAGGAGCCTCGTGAACAGAGGTCAAACCAGCTAATACCTAAGAGTCCAATCGAAACGGACAAAGACAGGATTCGATCAACAGACTAGTGTTGCCCTGAGGTCAGCATCTTTGATCAACCGGGCTATATCTACAACGGTCTGTTTCAGTGTAATTTGTCTCAATTAATAGTGTTCGGTAGATTTCATCTTGCTGCTTACTCGACGTTCTGTATTTCCTTTGCTGCGGTTGGTCTACGCTAACAGTTCGATATAGCGAAAGGAGAAATGAGTACCATCCATTTGGAAACGGTACATTACCACCCATAATCACAGTAGTGGCATTCGATCAGAGTCTGCTAATGACAAAGTGGTAACGCTACTCCCTGAGCTCGCCAAAGTCATAGAAGCGACCATCGCAGGTGCATTGATGGGCTATCTGGAATGCTGTAGTATGATTGCACCGGAGCAGTACGATCTCCGTCAGATTGGGACATGCACCACGAGACTGCTAACTGCACGCGACAAATGGAGTGAAGCAGCCGACTAGGGTACGGGAACTGATGTCATCTATTTGATCATTTTAAAAATGTTCGATCGTTTGGACTATATTATACCGCTCTACAAACTTCAGAGATATGATAATAGCGATCCATCGTTGCGATGGATTGGTGACATTTCGCGAACAGCAATTTTAGGTTGGAGTCCGAACATCTTTGGCTGACCCAAACCCTGTCGACTAAGTCAAATCGCTGGGTTTCATACTTGGGCCTCAACTGTTCTTAGTTTTCATTAACGATATGGCGAGGGTACTCACCTCAGTATGTTAAGTCGTGTCGGATGACGTTAAGAGTTGGCGGGCAATCAGGGGATTGGATGACCACGTGATCCTCCAGCTCGACCTTGCTTTGCTTGAAACTGATCGACGAGGAATGCACTGCCATTCAGTGTAGAAAAATGCCGACTTGTTCATATTCGCCGTCGACACGCTTATAAGTACACTTAACGCGCATCCAGGAACGTGATCTCGGGACCACGTAGAATACGCTATTGAGGTATGGCAATCATGGCTAAAAAGTGCTCTTGCAACACTCGAAACCCCGCAAGGTCGAACGATGAAACTTGTCAATGGATTGCGCAAACTTCCGTGTCAGCAACGACTAAAGATACTCGGAGTCTTCAGTGGACGCTACCGGCGGCTACGTGGAGACCTCATATTAGTCTACCAGATACTGAGCGATCCCAGTCATGTATGCTGAAACTTAACTCGAACATCAATCATAGAAGTAATAAATGGAGATTAGGTGATTGTCGACCAAATTATTTCTCTCTCCGGGTCTGCCAAGCCTGAAAGGTCCTTCCAAACTCATTTGTCTGTGCCCACACCTTAGCCATTTTCATAATAACGTGTTCAGCTCCCTGCAATTTGTCACGTGAATGGCTACTCTGGAATGTATTGGTTTGGACCATTTTCTGGGTTAGGACCCACGCTGATGCAGGTAAATCGCTGAAGGCGGAGGAGCAATCGGATTATTTTATACGAAGTATTAACTACATTAGCATGTGGTACTGTTTTGCATGGTACTTCCCATTGGAATAAACTTGCTTTCCATATGCCGTCTTCCTGACCTTTTGGGTTGTTTGCATCTATGGCCTTTGTTTTTGCACTTCTCTTATACTTTTGTCGTCATAAATCATTTCTCGATTGTTCTCTCGTTGGTTGTCTGTTCAAATGTATCAACCAAGCCCGTTTGCTGCTGCTCATATAGTCTGTTCGTCCTGAATCAAAACAAACCATGCAAATTGCGTGTCGCAATCCATTTACACACAAGTGCTTCTAACTTTAACTGCAGGTTCACATAGCGTAACATTTGTTATGCAGCATCCTGACTGGTGTGGGTAGCTCTGGGTGAATAAACCTTTATGCAACTGGCAAAATGACAAATAGTACATAATCACCCGACTCACCTTACGCATTTCCCATCTATAGTATGCTTCGGCTGCTTCGTTCAACCGAATTCTAGCTTCTTCCTCCTTTTTCTTCTTCATCTCTGCTTGAATCTGTTTTCGCTTTTGTACAATCTCGCGCTGAATCGCTTCCTTTTGCGCTTTCCTGCAATGCACATTAGTACCGCTTCATTGATCGCTCAAGTTACGTCAGTCCCGTTATGATGCATTTTTGCAGTGGTATAACTCAAATCAAAGAGTGAAAACGTTAAACTACTGGAGCTTTCGATTTGTTTCTACATCATATCAAAATTATCTGAGTCGGATGATCTGAGTATGGTGACGTGCCGTCACGGTAGGACACAGACTTCCATCACGGTCTTATGAAATGTGGACTCCCAGCACTAAGCTATGCCCGTGGTTTGCTTGCTGTCTACTTCGCGAGCTCTTTGGCTTACGCATACCCTATTATAGTTAATACCATAATTCACTGTAGCGAAACAAACTGCTTTTGACTGCTGAAACCAAAAAGCTCCTCTAGTCGTTCTGGCGTCTTCTTCAATAGCATTGGGCATAGTTCACACCACTAGGTTCACTCCTTCGCGCCGGTTCATCAGCTTGGTGAAAACTAACAGGAAGGGAAACTAAAAGATTACATTGGAATATCTCATGTGGTTTGCATCATTTGAATTATTTCGGACAACGCGATAACTAGCGATAACTAGCAACGAAGAGTTTGACTTGTTTTTCACTTTAGAAAGGGTGAACAAAGTATGCTCTCTGCATCAAAAGTGGTCAAGGTCACGCGCTGCTTTACCTTCATCAGTTACTATTGACTGCCACACTTTCACAAGAAAACACAAAGAATTATGCTTCAATTAAAAGTTAAAATCCATCTACGCAGTTAAGATGAAGTGGAAATGACGTCTACTCCGGATTTAAGTGTAGTTCCTGCTCCTTAGGATATTTGATCAAATTGAGTTCGGTTGTTAGGTGTGTTCTTACTAAAGCAAACTTGGCGAGATATGTGACTGATGCTTGATTCCTGATTACTTTTGCTTTTTCATCAATAAATACTTTTCATGATAGCACTATGTGAACGCACAGTAATCTTGAAGAATAATTCGTTATCTATTTTTAACCCCTCTTTGCTCAGAAGTTAACGTCGTGCGAGAATCGGAAACACAATTTCGGTAAGGTTGGGTTTAAGTTCGACTGGCATCTTCTAGACCAGCTCAACTAACTGAAAGTGAATGAGAAACAAACAGAACACGAAACACCCAACTGATATCCACCTAACAAACTTCTGTCACTGGCAATCTCTTCATTCTTACAACAGAGGTTTGGTGAGGACCATTGGTCAGTACGCTTCATCATATATGGCAGAATCACCATAGATATATTTGTCTTACGTTCCACTCACCAGTTAGAGTGTGAAGTAGCTCAGCAATTTCTCCGGTTTGTCTGGATTTTTCTGCAAACTACTGACCAAACATATCATCTCATTGTTCAACTGGAACAAAGTATCGCATGTTGAAATGGTTTGTTTCAACCTGAATTATCACACATACACAGTCCCACGACTAGATTCGCCACACGAGTGTAACCGTGCTTCCTAGATAAGGTCGCTTCCTACCGTTGCGGTATCGTTAGTGAATGCATTTGATCACTACATTCGGTCAATATGCGTTCATTGCGGTAACTATGAGCCTTGTCTTCAAGGCTCAACAGCAGTATTCGACTGCAACTGGACAAATACATTGGTATGAGCCCTCCGATCTGATTGAATTTCCACATCCTGACCACCAACCCAAACTGTACGGCAATCATAAACGTCCAGCATACACAATGAACAATCTGTTTATTTCGCAGATTCCTCACAACTACGCTGTACCTGACGGATAGTGTATAACATAGATAACACTAGACGGCTGTTTCGTCCATTCCGGACTGGTGAGCAGTGCACATTCCATTTGTTCGGTGAGCGTCTATACTCCGCAACCCTTGACTTTACTCTGTAATTAAGATCACCGGGACACTGGCGGTGGGTTATATTCATGGCGACCGATTGTGGCCATGACGACTCATCTGCGAAGTCTATTTCAATTTCGTTCTTGATTACTCTTCAAAAAGCAGACAACTAAAGTGAACGAAGGAACATGCTTGAACCACATGTGTGTGACAATTATACCTGTTCCATCATTAGCAGGATGGTTGATAAGATCACTGAATACACCAGATATAACCGATTTTTTGGCTTAATCAGTAAGTAACGTGGCAGATATATCGTTCTGAAAGATTATTCTAACTTTATTTTAAGTACAGAACTTTTCATGGTATATGACCAACGCTAGCGGATAGGTCTCATGATAGTTTACACAATTCCGTGACTACTTGACATGGTATGGGTGGTGTTTCTATGTTTCTGGAGACCCTGATACCAGTTCCGGTAATGCGTAATATTAGGGTTTAAGTCAATAATATCATCCCATCATTGAAAGGAAGCACATTGTGCAACCACCTGAAATCTAACTTGTGTAACGAAAGTTTGACTTGTCCCCAAAAGAGAAGGGAGGGAAAGGAATTGCTTAGTAATTCACTACCATGGGCTTCAAACGCGAAGTTCCCTGTCAATTAGGTTGCAAAACCGCTATAACCTCAGTCACGGATGACGATGGTCCCAGATGCTTCATACGCTATCTTTGACAAACACAGATTATTAGTTCCATACTTCCCTGACTTAGATGTGAATAGATTAAAGTTAATCTCTGTCGGTTGTTGCCGCCAGAATGACGAGTTCGACCTGCCGTGCACCATGTGTCGTTTTACAAAACTCAATTTACCCAGCTGCCTTATGAGATGGTTTTCTGAAACAAACGTCGGGATTTGGATTCTCTCAACAAAACTGATTTCTTCATAGGTACTCGATCGGCGCTATCTGATTGCAGTAGTTCGCCCTAAGTATTCGTACTTCTACTACCTACATTTTTCCTCGTTAGTGTTTCCTTTCCCCAGCTTACCTGGGCGACACCACTATCTCTAATCATGCGAGGCTATTAATTCAGGGCCTATTTCAGTGTTCGCGCTCTGTGTTGGAGCAGTTAATGGCCGATACTGCTAATCAGGATTCCCTCTACTTACTTCAGTTGTACCAGCTCTCCAAAGCCCATACAAGGCATTGGCGTAGAAAATGAATCTCGATCAAACAAACAGGGCACTTTCTTCTCTGGTGATGTCTAGTGCGTTGGTTAGGAATTTGAAATAGTTATTAAATACGATGGGAAGAAATAGCAAGGTTACCCTATTTGAGTGAAGCACGGCGGATAGCTGGTTGTGTGGGGTTCGCTTTAGGAGATATGTCAGAGATAACAGGCACACTCCGATGGCGTGCAAACTCGCTGTGCAGTTAATAGGCCGACAATCTTTACATTCTTTTGCGTTCCAGTGCCATATTTTTGTGACCATGAATGTTCACAGGGAGGTGTCTTTAAGTGCATGCTAAGGCAAAGATCAAACGACAACATTGTGTGGAGCAGGCCCGGAATTCAAGAAGACTGTGTCGCGGATGGACGCATGGATATTTATAAACACACTATTAGCGATAGTCCACCCCACTGGATCATCCTTGTTATTTTCTGGTTCTATTTCCATTAGTTTACGCTTATTCGCAACGTTCATCCTGTCTGAAATAACCTCGAGCCGCGGTACTGACTTTCTGGGTGGATTGTAAAATTGGCTCACTTGGTCACTCGTCCATCCGGTCACACCCATCTTCCTTTGGTCTGGTGCCCCAGCAAATCTTGACTCAGGTGCTACAGTCTATTCGTGGCCTGGCAAACCAATCGGCTTTTCCGCTTCTCAAGTGTACACGCTTTTCGCAAGACTGAATTTGTCCTGTGCAGTTGGGACCTGACGGCGCGTGACTGGTCACCTGCAGACCCAGTGGATGTTCTTTAAGTTGGCCGGAAGTCCTCGCAGAGCCCGACGTGGGTGCGCGCAGACCATTCACTGCCTGGCTGACCAATCCACTTCTGATGACGTGCATACTTTCCTTCGGGGCTAAGTTGCATCTGTTCGGTATTCCGCAAACTGCTGCGTGGCGTTCGACTGGCCATCTGCCTATGGATATCATAGCGTTTCCACTCACCATTGCTTTCAACCACTACCACAATTTGTGGTCAGCAACTAAGTGCAAGCTTATATTGCTGAGTGAGGTAGTGGATAACCAACTGTGCCCCAAACTAAATTGTTGCTTGGTTGTACAAACTTCCAACTCAACCGGTTGCATGGCGTGGCCGGAGTTTCACTAAGAAATGTGTAGTTATGGAGCATAGTGGATCTTATTGTCATCAACAACGAATTAAAATGCTCAGTGGGTAAAAGTCGAGCGGTCAGACCACTGACGAAGCTATTTGCGCGGTTGATGGATCACCAATCTGACAGCTGGACGAGAAAGCTGATTGCCAACGCGCACGCTTTTGCCACAAATCGTGCTTGGGAAAGATCCTGCGAGCGTTTTTCCAGGGCCAAGGCGAAAGCTGATGGAATCGCCCATCAGACAGCAGGCGTGTTGCCAAGGCCTGTCCGGAAACTGATGAAATCACGCCTCAGACATCAGGTGCGTAACCATGCACCGGGTAGGTGGATGAAGAGTGGAGTGCCCGAGCAAGACGGTGAACTGGACAGACGGAGCGGACGAGCAAGTGTGGAGCGTGGGCTTACAGCCAAATCCGCCTGGTAAAGTTTGGAGATATGGTGAGACCGACATATAAATATGAGCGTTCCCTGTCCTAATACAACTTGGTCTGCTGAGTCTTCTTGTGTCTTCCTTCCTGTCGGGTTTGTCAAGGCGTCAAACAGAGCAGGCGTAAAGGCGCAGATCTACCGGCAGGCGTGAATCAACCGGTCGCTTGCGGGGCACAGCGTTATAACACCATCACAAATTTGCGTAGGTGCATGGACCGTTTGGCTGAACACATCCGCTCTCGATTCAGTTGGTCTCCTCCTTCTCCTCGTCTAATAACTATGCCAATATGCGCGCCACGTACCGTTTCACTGGAATCAACCAACGAGGCGGCCTTTAAGCCCCTTGAGGGGATTAAAGGCCGCTGGCTCAGACGTAAATCCCCCGGGGCTGTTCGACTGCGGTGGCCAGGCAATTGGCAACCAGTTAATATCTCAGTTTTCCAAGATTTAGTGTGTATGAGTGGTTCTATCCTCTTGGGGCGAGATTACTAAGCTGATCGCCGTAAAGGGTGCACGCACCAAATTTAGGTTCATTATTCATGGCGCAAGCTCATGAAAAGCACTTTTCCATACGGCTCGCAACGCATCAGCTGGTTAATATTTAAATGTAAACCATGACACCTGAACGGTCTTCGTTCGATTTTATTGGCAAACATGTATATATATCTTAGCTGCCCCAGATCTGAAGTCGAAGCATTTGATGACAGATTTATGACTGCGGTCATCATTTACCTGGGACTCCTTGTGCATATTTGCCGGCGATTTTACCAGATCTGACACAGGGTTCATTACGAATCTTGCGATAAAGAACATCGTGCAATCTCCAACCAGGTTTGATGCAATCCTTGACATGGTCTTTGTTAACAACCTGAAAATGCTTTCTGTTTTTAATCGGGCGCCGTTTGGGAGCGCTGTTCGTGCTACCGTAAAGTTAACTCCTGTCATCTATGGCAAGAAGATCCATAGAGATCTCACCCGTTGCAAAGATCGAAAGTTCATGAGAAGACAATGCCTTCCTCAGAACATTCAGCGAATGCGTGAAACCATTGCCTGCACATATTTTAGTTTATTTTACCACGCGAAGGTTTCGAAGTATTGCAAACAGTTAACTGGTTACTTAAACTGAGATATGGTTTGTTTACACTAAACACTCGCTCTTGGACTTCTGCACTGATACGCCTCTGTTTATAGCTACCAAAAATGATGCGTTATGCAGACCAATTGGTATGCAATCGACCGGAAGCAAACGGCGGGGAAAAGGGTTAAAAATTAGTCGATCCGATAAGTAGCCGGCGACACATCTTCGAAACTCCCACCAATAAGGAGTAAACTTGGCATGAAGATATTGTGATACAAGGCAGCGTCTTCAACTGTCATAGCATGTGTTGTTTCTTCCTGTAACTAAGAAGTTTTATGACTGATTGTTTTGTATGCCCTTTCTTTTCTCACTCTGCACCAAAATAGAAATTTACTGGACCATAAGGTATGTCGCTTGATCTCCTGTCTTCATCCCCAACACAAAATCTCTGTTTCTATACAATCTGAATCTGACTATAATGCCGTAGTAACATAGATAACCATCGATCTAATTTATCTAGACTTCTGGGACGTTCCAATACGTTCAAATGACGCCATTTATCTCGTGGGAATTCACACTACGAAAAGTTCTGATAGATCATAAAGCTTGCGTTGTATCACCTGTACGCCAGTTACTATTCTATGACATTCATAACTCACCATAACATGAAGGCTCTTTCACTATTGACGATCTTCTCGTTCGCTTCCTGGCGCTTCTTCTCCAACATAGCTTGTTCTGCTTGTTGTTCATCGCGTTGCTTTTTTAACAGTGCGGCGTCTTTCATCGACTTCCAAGCATGAAAAGCCTAGAAAGGCACAAAACTGCGCCTAATTAGACGGAAGATAATTCATTTACATGGAATTTGCAGATTAGGACGAACAACTAGACTAGTGCTTGATAGGTGGAGCGTCAAAATATTCACCATATGAAAATAGAGAAATGCAAATTATAATCAAACAACGATCGGTTCACTCTACTGCCAAGAAGCTAGGTTATGGAACTTCAGCGACAATATTATGATGGGAATAGGAACTAGTCCAACTGAAACCATAATGGCTGCGCCAGGAATACTTCGTCCAATCACGCATGATAGCAATAAACGGGTGACGTGAATGCAGCTATACAATTCGTGCTATGCATGAATGAATAGGTGGAAGTATGATGAAAAGGGGGCGAACATGAAGCGAATGATGCATGTAAAACGAGCGAACAAAAGACCACCAAGTGAAGTAGAATCGTTGAAGGAGAAGTTACGCCAGTTGCGTTATACACAAAGGTTAATTAAGCGATTGGATTGGGGTACATGGTCTACAGACCACCTCTCAGGAACGTGACTTCGTTGTGCTTGTGCAGCCTGACCTCGGTTGTTCCAGACAATCTGAGTGTGCGTCAAAAAGAAGTAACTAGCACGTTGGTCTTTTGCGGAGGGCACTAGGGAGATTACGTTCATTCATCTCCATGATACATCACGCCAACTTGCGTCCTACTTCGAATACATTATCCAGGCCTGGAAACCTTGGCCAAAGTGTGACCTCACAGCGTTCCATACCCCGAAAACTTGAACACCGAATGATGTTAACGTTTTGTGCCACCTTCCGTAGCAGGAACGACGGAAAAAAACTCGGGATGCTCAGTGGATGCTACCGGCGGCTACGTGGCGACGCCATATGAGCATATCAAATACTAAGCGACTCCAGCCAAGTATGCCATCGCTATTTGAAATTCAGCCTGTACATCAATGTGAGAGACACTGGCCTGGAATCAGGTCAACAATATAGTCGACTAGATTGTTGAGGAACTTCCCTCTTCCTCCGAGTCTACCAACGCTGGAACATCCTTACCAACTTAGTTGTCTGCGTCTACACCTCAGCCCTTTTCAAAATTACGCTTGGATATCACGCTACCCTTCGTACTATATAAACGGATGCTTTGGAGTGTAGAGCGGCTAACTATCTTCTTGGAATTATAATGCACAATAGCACACGTAAATCAACCAAGCAGGTACACAAACTGGTTGTTTTTACATTGAGCGTTATTTATATTGACTTACTGTTCCATTGTGCGTGGGGCTGTCTTTTTATCACAACTTTGCTCCTACTACGCCATTGTCATGTTGCTTCCTAGATGCGCGTTTCATTCTGTCCACTTGTTTAGTCTTCAGAGTTGCAATTTATTCCATCACCAGCCTACGAGACATGTTTGGCACACGTATTTTATCCGTCATAAACCGCTGTTACATTGTATGGTCGCGTTCAACCCCTTGCTATCTCTGTCGCAGATTCCAGGGAGAAAATCCAGGCTTACCTATTGCGTCAGCCTGATAGCCTCATTCGATTAGTCTGGTGCGTATTTTTTGCGAACAGGTGCACCCCAAAGTACACAACTGAAACAGTCGACGAACATGATCCATTAAACTAGGGGATCCGGGTTCAGCAATTGACTCACTGGCCCTCGCAAGGACATCAGCTGACCAGCACAATAATTAATCGATCGACGCATCTGTCAGATACCAGCTATAATTCGTAGCCCTCGATGACCAAATACAACAAGGTCAATCCCAGGCATTCCTAAGCTTTATTCAACCGTGGCCATCTTTCGAACCTTTCTATTTCTCATGGCCCCCCACTCATAATCACCACAATTTCAGCAACGCAAATCTGTGATGTCCATTGGTCACATTGGTATCTTTTGTTATGATGGTTAAATTTTTAATGTCTGTATCATTGCTCTTTTCCTTAAAAACCTTACTTTCCAACTTTCACAGCCTTGAGACAACACTGATTGTGCAGCAACATCAAGTCCATTATCAGTACTAACACAAAAGCTGTCATTAATACTTAAAATTGTATTAATTATTGTTGGCTTTCAACTGCATGTCATGAATTAGGTGGCGTAGTAAATTCGTAGCAATATCTTTATCGATATATCAATGCGAGCCTTGCTCATTATGTCCTTGAGCAAACTTGCTTATATCTGGCTTTAGATTTGACAGCGAGCTTCGACGATCTCTTGTTGGGATGTCCAATATGTTTCTACTTTTTATTAAAGAAATCATACTGCTGAATCCATATGCAACCGTGTATGTCGGTGGAAAAGCAAGGAAATATATTTCAGCTATTTCTCACAGTCTGGGATATCTGTTACGGGCATCTTTCTTAATCCAAAAAGACCTTTTATTTGGCGTTAATTTGGATCTGGCTAGTATGTCACTTTGAAGCCCTATGAGACTCCTGCGTTTCAGCTCGCAGGGCTGCAAATCAAATTGATTTAAAACCCAAATCGGGATTTCCATGTCAACTAGGTCATGAAACCTGATTTCCATTTTTTCGGAGTTGTTGTAAATGTCTGTGATAAACAATCAACCCTTATTTCTTCAACCCCAGTGACGGTTGCGAAAATAGGAAAATGGGCAAATCCCAGACGTCCGATATTTTGAGCATACACTTTCAGGTTTTAAGAAAAGTGCTAATGGCTATTCTGCTCGAGATGTGATTACTCGACTTACTTTGTAGTGTTTGGTTTAATAAGTTGGGTTTTTCAAGCACTTCAGCCAGATAAAACACGTCTGACTTAGATCTTAACGATTTCATTCATACTCAGTTCCAGAGGGCAACAAAACAGCGAAGACAGTTGCCTATGAAAAGCCATCTAACTTCCGTATGCAACAGTAGAACCTGGAAAACTTCACTGTTCTCTTCACACAATTGCTGAAAAAGACGACCTTAATGAGGGTTCGATTTGGTATCGTTGACTGCTGTCATAACAGTTTAGAGTGAATCGTTTAAGCGTCTTCCCAAGTTCTTAGCCACTAGGTGCTCTCGGCTGTAATGCGTACACAAGTCCAAGCCACTGTTTCGATTATAACACGCACATTTCAAAGTTGAATTTGGAGTGTCGCTGTGTGGTTGGATTGCGACATGCAATCTCTATTCAGACCTCGGTTCACTTTGAAGTAGACCTCGGTCATTACGATCACAAAGACCGTAGCCGCATTGGATGTGATTCGGTGTTGCGCCTTCCAATCCTGACACCCATAACCGGTTTCGTCCTCCTTTGGGCTCATCAGATGGAGATAGCCTGAGTTCGCATAGAACTCGGTGCCTAGTGTTTCACGGCTGACATCTCGATCACTGTGCCTCTAATATCCGTGAGCAACGCTCGGCCCAGCGATACGGAATTCAAAGTTGGATTAGGAGTACCCGTCCTGAGATTGGATTGCGATTGTGGTCGTAATGACCAAAGTCTAATTCAATGTGAACTGAAGTACACTAGAGATTGGGTGTCGCAATCCAACCACACGGCGGGTGTTCCCAATTCAACTTTGAATTCCTTACCGTTATGCCAAGTGTTGCCCACGGATATTAGAGGCATAGTGATCAAGGTGTCAGCCGTGAACCACTAGGCCCCGAGTTCCACCCGAACTCAGACTATCTCCATCAGATGAGTGCAAAAGAGGACGAAAGCGGTTTTTGGGTGTCAGTGTTGGAAGGAGAAACACCGAAACACCTCCAACACGCACATCTGTTTACACACAACTCACGTACATCGCCGGATAGACGGTGGCTCGTGCTAACCAAACATGACAGTCCTCCACCGTTAGATTAACAGTATCCAGGTTGATAGCGTTCTACACTCCGCTTCTCACGAACTGCCCGCCAGGGCTGTATACGTGTCTCAACGTAGTTTGCATTTGTAATGCTTCTGATGATGTTCTCAAAGGTGCCGTCGATGGGAAATTTGCTTGTTCCTCTTCTGGAATCTCGGGACACATGCATTACAGGAAAGTTGTGACAAACTGTGACAAAATGTAACATGAAGGACGGAAGAGACAAACACGAAATCAAAATGCTGGATAGTTCAAGAAATCGGCATGAGAGAGTCAACAAGGAAACTAATGGTGTACATTGGCCATTGCCAAACATGGCACCCAAGGCGTGCTGGCAAGGCATTCACTTCGTATCAGTAGTATGAGAAGTATCCCCGTGTACATATTGTGTTGTATATGCTCACCAAAGAGACCGGATATCCACATGTATGCTGTAAGTTGCAATTGGAAAACCAGCTGAACTGTATGTTAAGAAAGCGTCATAACGTGTCTCAGCTGTTTCGACTGTTGGAACGAACGAATATTCTCCAGAACTAGTACCCCAGACGCACAGAGTAGCCACTGCAATTCGGAACGTTACCAGGTCACGTGACCTATGCGCCAGACGAACAAGCGACCTGAGATTATAGGCGAAAACGTAACCGCATTGATACGCAACGAGAAAATCTGAGGAAATCTCAGCCAATGTCAGCGTGGCTTTTTGCAGTAATTGCCTCAAGTGTGCTGAGAAGAGTTCGATAGGTTCCTTGCAGTAAATATATCAATGTTCTGAGTAGAGCTCAGTTGGTTCACTGTGGATAGGCATCAGTTATTAGTCGCGCAGCCTAAATGGCCGGATGGTGACTGCATGTTTGAAGTGAGCCCGGTAAAATCTGCGTAAGTATGACGGAGCTGGCTTTTACACCTTTTTAAAACGTCACTGACTGGTAGTTACTAGGAGGAGATTAGTGCGCAAACAGAAATAATCACGAGATTTTTAAAGATGAATATTGTTGTTTGTGTCATCACACCCCACTTTTCACACCATGGCCCCCACGCCCCCCATCCCAAGGTCTCCGGGAATTTTCTGTGCCCCCCAGGGGACCATATGGCTCCCGTTGAGAATGGCTGCGTCGAATACTGGCCGGGGCTCCGAAGCCCACTGTACAGCTGAGTGCACTACGGCGTGCACACGACTCTTCACCGAAAAAACAATAAGG